AGTTGTTTGGTTATTTAGTCTTAGTTTCCAGTTCTACCAGTTAAATATTTTAATTTAGAACATTTCACCCATAGTCCTCAAATACCTGTACAAATGTTGACTGTTTTTTCAGAACAAGTAAACTTAAGTTATTTACTTAAGGACATAGTTGGCAATCAAACTATTATTTCCCAGTTTCTAGGTCCTAAAGCTGTCTTGTACTATAACCACTAGATTATATTTACTCCAATAACAGAACAGCAAGAAGAATCTTGAATTTTGCAGCTTTATGCAGCTCATTCATTTTCATTAAGTGTTAGCACCTTTTAAAAAATAATTTTGTATTGCTTTTTATACTAAAAGTCCCATTTAGAGCAAATTATCTTATTTCTTCAGAAGAGCTTGAGTTGTTTTTGACCAACAGAGGTTTTGCTGTCCTTCCTTTACCTCTGATGGGTTTTGTTAACTCCTTTTCTTACATTTGCCACTAGCAAATGCACCTTTTGTGCAGTGTGTTTAAATCAAAGGCGGCCTGCTTGTGTTCAAAGTTGCCTTTCCTGAGCTACTCCTGGAAAAAAAAAATGCAGTCTGATGGCTGCTCATCTTTTTTAGCAAACATTAGTCTTCTCTGAATATCTGACCCAGTTACAGCATCTAGGGAAGTGAGCTCCTTGTTACATGTCTCCAGGTGGCTTCTTTTTCACAGCCATTCCACCTCATAGAGTTTGAGGCATGTGCATGCAGTAAAAGGATGTCACACCCAGAGCGTCAACCAGCCTGGGCTTTGGACTTAAGAATAAATCAGTTTTAAGGAGATGTATTCTAGAAAGGGTAAAATGAAATCAGATCATAACTTGTTACAGCTGTCTAGTAGGAGAAATTCTAGCACCATGTTGCTGATCCTGTCCAAAACTTTATGGAAAAATTACAAAATGAAGGAATATTTTCCTTGTAGTACCTGCTGCCTGTTAATGTTTGTCACTTCCTGTCTTTCATTATGAGAGCTACAAGAAAATGTATGCAAGAGAATTACAGATTCCTTGGTTTATGTACTATGTATTTCCACTTTAGGCAAATTAAAAGCAATTTTCCTCTGAATTAAAACAGAACTGAAGGTTATTATTCATTGTATCCTTGGTTGCAAAAGTCTATATAGAGTAGTAGCAGAAATCTTCAGAGATAAACATTTAATCATTATATTGTCTAGTTTAACTATTCTTTTTGGATTTAAACACCTAAGCTGTGTCAATAGTGTTGTTTAACTGTGTTTTGTTAATTCTGAGTTCCCAAAATCTGAATTTTCCTCTTTTTTAACTCATTATATGTTACTAGGTTTGAAATAGTGCTTCAGCTCCTGTTTGCAGAAACTAGAGTGAACACACACACACACACTTCACTTTTGGGATATCTTAACAATGTCACCAAGAGGTAATCCTTCAACACTGAGAGGAGAGGATAAAAAAACTCTGAGCAGAATTCCTCCTGTTCAGTCTCCACAAAAGCAATGATCTAATAATGTAGCTTTGTGGCAGAACAAGAGGAGGGACTCATCAGCTAATGCTTCCCATCAATGTGTTTTCCTCCTGTACCTTGCTGGTTCTGTGAACCATCTACACAGTAATTGTTTTATTCATAAGTGTGAGTCAGACTCAGCTTTTAATGCCATATGCAGAGTCCTTCCTTCACGGGCTGCTAGAAGTACTGTTAGATTTTTTTTATTTTTTTTTAATCCAGAACTGTCTGCTACTATAATTGCTTCAGTTTAACATTGTAAAAGCCTTACCATCTGATTTTTCAGCAAAGCGTGATATTCCATCTACCCAAGCCTCACAGGTTTCTGCAAAGTACTTATGTCCATACATCTCTTCCAGTGGTTTCTTGACCTTTTCACTCCATTTTGAAACATCTCGGATGCCTACATAAAATAACATTGAAATATGTTAAGTCCTTTCCAGCAACAAGATATAACCCAGTGCTGTCAACACTAATACGAGTAAGTTTTCAAACCAGACTGCAGGTATGTACTTCAAACCTGAAACTGCATGGAATGGTTTTAAATAATTCATAGCATGGAAAGGATGTAAAAAAGGTAGTTTTATGATCTCTGTTGGGGTCTTTCTAAGTTGTAGAAGACCATCTTGTTATGGTCATAAGGAACAACTGGGGGGGGGAAAATATCAAAGAAACCAGTCCTAAAACTTCTGATGTTTCATTTTGGAAGGCTTGCAAAAGAGCTCAAGGAGGTACCTTGTGTATAAAAAGGGGACTATTTTATAACTGTGTGCCAAAGCTGGCAATTATTTTTTATATCCTTCAGCCTTTTGCTTTGGCTCATGGATGGAAGTCCTTCCATGGCTCCTAAGAGTATCCAGAGGAAGGAAGCTCTTACTAAGGCATTCCAGCAGGCTGACATCATGGTACATTTGCCATAGTCTTACAGAAAAACAAGCAGCTCTTCTTAGTAGAGCCCCATGACTCATGGCAGGCTGGCTAAAGCTGTACAAATAATCTGACATTCTAGTTATGTATTTATCAGATTTACCTATTTTTTCCCCTAAAATTTTCGGTACTGCTCACAAACCAGATAACCGCAAGGGTGACTTTGACTAAACTCTATTTCAGACTATAGCTTTGTATCAGTAAAGCTCAAACCAATGTTGGCACAGCAAAGAACCTGAAAGGGACCTGAAAAGTACTGAATCATCCAACAGCAATATATGCCACTAGAAAAGCTTTTAATTGGTTTCAAATGGGAGTTAAGGGAAGAAAGGAGTGAGGTGTAAATTAACAGACAGAACCTGTCCAGCCAAGTGAGCAAGGCAGTAGTGAATGGAAGTGCTTTAAAACAACATCTGATTGGAAATGAGTTTCCTCACCCCAGGCTAGCTGTTACTGAACAGCTGCTTCCCTTAAAGAATTTCCTGCTTCACCCTTGTGGCTGGCCTTAATTTAAGAAGAGAAGGGGGTGGTGGAAAGCCTATGTTGAAAGGACATAGGTACCAAATAAACACCTTCCTCTCCTACCAAACCCTCCACTGCAGCTGAGATGGACCAGCTGTAGAAGGCTGGCACTGCTACTCTCTGAACTATATCACCCGGAGAGAGATGTTGAAAGCACCAGCTCATGAAGAGGCCAAAAGTCAGCATTGCTGCAGACGCTCTGTGTAAAGTAAGACTTTTTTGGTTTTTTTTTTTTTTACATTTTAGCCTGTTGGCTGATACTAACTGATGTGTTACTAACTGACATAATTATATAATAAAAACTTCAGAAATATAAAAGCATGTAAAGAAATAGAGCAGCACTTTTACAGAGCTAAAAAGCATTTTGCTTACTGAACTAAAAAATATACTAACACTACTACCAACGAAAGTGCTTTAGTACAGGTGAGGTAAGTACCCATGTGCAATGCATACACTTGTAATTCAGCTGAAGCCACAGTCAGATTTCACAGCTGGTATAAATCAAACTCCAGTCACTAAAATGAAACTACACTGGGTTACATTTGTTGAGAGCCTCCATGGTTAACTCTTTAAATTTCTAATTTTAAAAGGGAATATCATCTCTTTCTGAGTTCACTAGCAGTTTTTGCTATTTTCCTTTAGAGTGACAAATGATCTGACTGTATTTCATGTGAGTGGAATAAGGACCAGAAATCCCATGTTTCTTTACTTTGCAAAGGTTTTGTAACCACAGTAATTAATTTTAAAGGATGCAAATTAGAAAGGTATCCTGGGACACCTAAATGATTCACTTGCTTCAAGAACTCAAATGGTAAGTTATGAGCTTGTTTTCTTACTGTCTATGTATTACACAGGCACTAGAAGTAAAAGCTGTTATGTGCTTGCCCAGTGATTTTCTGTGGACCTTGTTTAAAAGTTGTGCAAGATGTGAGAAAACAAATCAACCCTGTGGTCAACAGTATCATTTGGAATTTATTTTTAGGAATTTGATTGACTTTCTGAAAACTACTGATAAGCTATTACAATGTATGCTTTTCATCAGTGTGAGCTGGTAAGGATTTGTTGAAAATTCTATTATATTACCCCCAGAATAATTGTTAGGGAGTTTCTCACTCTGACTTTAGTGCATCCCTGTATTTAGCAAGTTGGTGAATTCTATGTCCCGTTCCTTTAGGTTTGTTGAGTCCTCAACTCGGTCTCCATTTAGCTGTTACATGACTAAGATTCTTAGGTCAAGAAGAAATAACAATAATTCTTGCAGGATCCGATATTCAGTTGGTACATACCATTATAAATTCTCACATCCTCTTGAGTAACACTGGCATTTGCTCCCCAGACAACCAGCTTGTGGATAAGAGTTGGATATTTTGCTGCTGCAATGAGTGCTGTAATGCCACCGTCACTCCACCCCAGCAAAGAGAACTTCTTAAATTTCAGTGCCTTGATTTGTACAAGAAAGTTACATGCAAATCATCAGCCGGTTTTACAAGCAAATATAAAATATTTCTTGAAAAATAACTGTACAGTTTTAGACACAATACTATATAGTGGAACTATAGTTAGCTTTCATAATTAGAAAATATAATTTTACTGCAATACATAAAAATATTTAAGAAAAGGTCAAATTACTTGAAAAACAATAAATTATACCTGTCCTTACAACTTTCTACAACTATTTAATGAAACAGGTGGTAGCCATATTAGATTCTAGCTGTATTTTAAAAAGCCCTCTTGAAAGTAATAAATGTTTATTTACAACTGAGTGTAAAGGCCTTTTCAGCAAGCCTGATGGTATCAAGAATCTGTGGATTCTCTTGGTATAAATTTGGCAAAGACTATCACAGTGTGGGATAGTAGGTAATCCAAGATCAAGATGATCTTAAGAAAAGTTTAAGACTTGAAAAATGGAACCCAGTGATCTAATGTAGTGATGCTAGCTGATATTAAAAAAATAACAATATGCTCTGTAACAACCAAAACATTCTTAAAGTATTTGCTATGGGATTGTATCAAATTTTAGTGCCTAATTCACATTTTCTGAAGCTTTTAAGTGTTCATTTAAAATGTTACTTCATGGTGAATTGCAAATCAGAACATTAATAATGAAATTCCTCCTCAAAAAGGAAGGCTCAAGGCAAAAAATCTGACGACCAAGACCTTAATTTATTCTGACTTGTACAATGCTTTCCACTAGAACTTGAAACTCTTGTTTCCTCCTGTACCACAACCTACAGTAGGAGGTACCAACAGGGACAGGAGAGAGGATTTTGTGTGTGTTATGTTCAGTCAGCAAAGGGTGGGAAAGGTAAAGGCATCGGGTGCAAATGCACCTGAAGTTTGCACAGGGACGATATTCAGTGGATAAACAAAATCTGCAGTTTTGCATACAGAACCCTCGGTTTGTGAATTCGAAACAAACTTAAAGGTTTCAAAGGGTTTTTTTTTGTTTTGGTTGTTGGTGTGTCATTGTCCATCCAGCCTCCTTCACCCCCTCCTCCCCACCCCAAAATTACAGTCTTTTAGATGTGATTAAGGAAAATACTGTACTTTTGTACTTCTGAGGGAAAAGACCAAGTTAGTTGGGTGAGTTGTTTTGGTGCTTGGTGTTTTGTTCTTGGCAGTCCAGGCCTGCTTTCTTTGGCCAGAAGAAAGCAAAAATGCAGGCAATGAGAGAAACAACTACAGAGAGAGAAAAAGCAGTTTCTAGTCTACTTGTAAACTTGATGCTCAAGTGAGGCATAACTTTATCACCCAACTTGATACCTAGCAAACTTCTATCACTACCAGGCTTTTCTGGTTTTGGCTTCTTCCTTGGTATTAGGCTCACTGTGGTGTTGCTTAGTATTAGATTTCACTCTGCTAAGCTGTAATTAATAAGCAGAGAAGAAATAAGGCAAGAGGAAGAAAAGGGCATGTAAAGTAAGAGCTGACAGCAAGAAAAGAGAACCTTGAATTTCAGCAGCTGATCACAAGTTGAACCTGGCCAAATAGTTATCTGTGACCAGCTTTCAGTATTGTGCTGCTGAAGGGTTACTGGTGCCTTGGCAAGTTCCAGCATTTGGCAGCAGTGCTTGTAAAGCTTAAGTTTGTGCTATTGCTGCTGCTGTTCTCCTACTACCACTAGCAAATTGCAGACCTTGAAGTCAGCTGATAGGTGGAATACCTGATTAAAATTTTTATTCTTCATGCCAGGTTATTTGCCAGTGCTTCAACTGAGATCTATTTGCCTCCAGTATTTATCCTGATGCATTCTTCCAGTTGTCTCAGGATGCCTTTGCAGCAGGAGGAATTTCATTTATTCTTTTCAGCCTTCCAAAAAATAATGTGATACAACAGATATGTTGGCTATGATATGCATGTGTGCTTGCTTTAATCTTGAATCACAGCACAGGTCTCTACCTAACATTGGCAATAACCTGAGAGCTGGTTGCACCTCCTCGGTTCTGTGGGGGGTTTTGTGTTGGCCTTACCCTGTAGTAAACAAAATCTCTTTGGAAATCACCTCCTCCATCCAGGCCTTTGTGAAATACAACTAAAGGATCATGTATGCTGTGAATAGTTGCAATACAACAGTACTCTGTACCGTATGCTTTCATGGGATTGCAGGGAGTACACCACCAGTAAGGGTTGCAGTTGATCTACAAAAACCTGGCGAAGCCCAAGCCATCCTTCCACTAGGACAGCAGCTCTGAAGAGTAAGAACCAATTAAACATCAACACTTCCATGATTGTTGTAATGCTATTGGCTTTTGCCATTGTTAGACTTTGGGATGGAGTGCAGCTAAGTTGACTTATTTGCATTGTATTCCTTTTATTTCGAGCAAAGCCCTTCACAGAACACATACAGTGATACAGAGCAGTGTAATCTGCATCAAGGTGCTAAATACTCTGCAGAATTTCAGCTCCTGTTATTTGACAGAAACCTTGGAGCATTCACAGCTCCAGCAGAGGCAACAGAATCTAAAGGAGCCTAGAATAAATCTTCTGAAAGCTCACCTATATGGACGGGTTTTCTGGCTGAGTGTAGGCAAACCATATACATTATGAAGCCTTCTGCAGGAGTTATGACTTTGTTTGATACCAGAAATCCTATTTGGGATGATTTTTTGTGATTGTGCTAACCTTTATATGTTATGCTAAAACAGAAGCAAGTTACCACACTTGGGAAGACTTAAATAATATTATAGCATGCTTATATCAATAAACATCTTCAAAAAACCAGGATGTTACATCTCATTTGTTTTGGCAGCTTGAGAGGTTGGTAGGCCACTGTGGTATTTGACTGGATGTGACATGGTTACATTCTCTTTGGGGACAGCTCCGTTTTCTATTTTGCATTTATTAGTATTTGGACAGAAGCAGGAAAGGGGGTTACAACCACTTAGACTGAAGGCTTGTCACCTATCCATAGCAGCATCTTTATTTTCTTTGTGAGTATAGCAGAATAAATTGGTGATTTATGGTGCAGAGAGATTGCTTTTGTGGTTAGAGGGCAAAACTGTGTCTTAATCCTGATTCTGCTGTCAGACTTATTTTGTGTCGCTACACTGGATGCTCCAGGAAAGCTGCATTTCCAGTTTCAGACGGGTTTCTGCAAGGTTACTGCTAATTACAGAAATACAGTTGGATTGACTGTTTGAATCTTGTCTCATATTTTTGGAATTTTAATGCTCTGCCAACTTTCTTAACATGGCCAAAGGGACTGTATGGTTTAATGTAACAAAGCCAAAATACTAGTTAACACTAATCCAGAAAATAATGTTAGCACTTACAGCACAATAAAAGAGGAACACAGAAACATAGATTTGAAATAAAAAATTCTGCAAGATGGAGAAGTACTAACAGCTTATTACTGTCATATTCTCTATAATCACAACAGCTGTATTTGTTATTAAGATCTGGTATGATCACAGGAACCCTTTGATTTCACACACAAATTGTTTCAGTAATATACTGTAAAATGCAAACTGTCAAGTTAATTTTTAGAATTAAATGTTTGTTGAAATGGTCTGCACAAGTCAAAATGACAAGATTCTATTAGCTAGAAAATTTTCTAAGAACCTTTCACTACTGCAATCCCTTCAGTTAAACCACTTAGTATAGACTGGGTTTTTTATATACTTTACCTAAATGTACATGGTTCTTGGCTGCAAGCCTCTTAGGGCAGGGTCTTGGAATAAAA